GCGCCCTGGAGACGGCGCCGGGTTCCCGCGCGGTCCACGCGAGCCCTCGGGGTGGCCAGAGTACAGCGCCCGGCAGATAGCGCACCCGAAGATGCAGGATGGCTGCGCAACCGCCCGCCAGCCTCTCCAACCGAACCACGGGTTCCACCTGCCTGGACCCGCTCAGCCAGCTCCTCGGCATCCCGCTAGACCAGGTAACAGCGTCTCACCCGCGACCCCGATCCTCGGGCTGGGGAGAGGAATGCTCCCGGGTTCCGCTCAGCCCAGCCCACAGGTGCGAGGGCTTCTTTTCGAGTCGGACGCTTTTAAGTGTGAAAGCTCTCCGTTCACCTAAACAGTCAAGTTGGACAGAAGTTAAGTTTTGGTCTGTGATCGAAACTTTAGTGGTGTGATTCACGAATCCAGCACTTTCCCACCAGTGCACTTAGATCTTCGTGATTTTAAATTTAGGCGATCCTATGTTAAGAATTAAGTCTGATCGAGTTGGGCGTGGTGGCTCACGCCTCTAATCCCTATTCACCAGAGCCTGGGGCAAGAAAATTGCTGCACGTTCCAGTCTACTTTCTAGGTGACCGAGTGAGACACCCCAACCCCAAAACAAAACCAAACAACGACAAAAAGTAAAAAAGCCGACTAACCAGGTGTGTAGGTATATAGTACAGCATATGGTGGTGACTTGTATGTTGAGACAGCACCTGGCTCTGTAGCCCAGACTTCCTTGACTCTCTGTAGTTCAGACTGGCAGCCAACTCTTTATTTTGCCCAGGCTAAGCTAGAACTTGGGGCGATCCTCGTGTCTCTTGTTGAGATGCCTCTCAGACCAAGAGGGCCTTTGTTACTCAGTCTTCATTCATCCCTGCGGTGAGAAGCCCGTGAGGAGGGCGGGTTCTTGGGAGGAGAGGGGCCGTGGGGAAAGATTTTGAACTGTTCAGGAATTGCCTGCTACGTTACAGTTAAAATTGGCAACAGTAACCTGGTAAGAAATCTTGCAAAGACAGCTGGGGCTGCAGCTCAGTGGTAGAGCTTGTAGTATCCAGGAGGGTCTGGATGGTGCCCCAGTACTGGAGGGAAGAAAATCTTCCTGAGGTGTAGTCTTGCTTACTTTCTTTTGGCGCCCCAGGCTTGTGTAAAACGCGTATTGACATAAATGGACTCAGGCACGGTTTTTGGAATAAGACTCCTGCTTTCCCTACTATTTTATTTCTGCTAAAATTTCCCAGTTTATTTTCTCTCCTTTTGCTGGATATTGTGCACGCTTGTATTTCCATACATGGGAAACTGAGGCAGGAAGATTGCTTCTGTTAATTGGCACCTCAGCCATTTGTATCAGGCTTTGAGACTTAACAGCTTTAAGTTGGAGACCAGTCGAGGCCTCGTGGAGAGCACCAAGTCAGCCTGGGCTACATAGTAAAACCCTGGCCCAAAAAGGCAAAGCAAAACGAAAAATTTTCCATTTTCCTAGAGTTGTTTCCTTTCTTTCCTTTCACAGTAGAGCTGCCTGTACCTGCTGCCTCTCCATTGCAGTCCTTGGGCAGTGGTGAAGTTGGACCTGGCCTTTGCATTACTATAGAGCCACCCTTATCTTCAGGTTCTGCCTGCTGCCTTCTCTTCAGTTGCAAAACTCTGAGAATGAGGAACTTGGTAGAAGCCTCAGATGTTAAGTCAATTTCTCTTTACTTTGTAGCAAGGGAGACTAAAGGATCCAGGCAGGCAGGCAGGGAAGACAGGGCAGGGCAGGTAGGCAGGGAAGGCAGGGCTGGCAGGGAAGGCAGGGCAGGGTAGGCAGGCAGGCAGGCAGGGCAGGGAAGGCAGGACAGGCAGGCAGGAAGGGCAGGGCAGGCAGGGCAGGCACCAAAACAAATTCTTTCACTTGGAAATTGAATTTAATTATTGCAAAATTTCCATAGGATGAGTTCATTTTGCATTGACTGCTCTAGTACCTATCAGAATCTGTTGTAGTTGCATTTTTTATTTTACAATAATCCATTTACAATAATAGAAAATAATTTCTATTTATTTTCAGAGGGGCTTTCCCCTTTTGTACAGAAATAAACGGACTGATGAAATACTAAGGCAAATCGAGAGGAGAGGTCCTAGTGTGTTATTAAGCTTTTGGCTACATCCTCCTGCATCCCCACGCTCTATAGAGTTTTGGTAAAAGTTACTCTGGCTTTTAGAAGAGATTTATTTTATTAATTTAAAATGTAAGTGTGTGCATCTACACATATGTGCACACGCAGGCCCCTGGTGGATATGTGTACATGAGAGCAGGCGCCCACTGAGGTCAAGAGGTCTTGGATCCCCTGGAGCCGGAGTTAAAAGCCACTGTGAGCTGAGGATATGGGTGTTGGCAACTAACCTGAGTCCTCTGCGAGAGCAGCCTTTGCTCTTAACCTCCGAGCCACCTATCCAGCCCCCAAAGTAACCCTGGTTTGAATTTACGAAAAGGAAGAGAAGGATATTACAGATATGAATGATTTTAGTTCAAACCTCAAATGAACTCAGGTCATCATGAGATGAATGGAAAATCATAAGGAAAACTTGGCATCTCTGAGATCTTGGGTCAGCCTCATATGACACCTCAAATCACTTGTTTTCAGCCTGGGAGCGAAAATCCCACGCCATAACTAATATAATTCAGGACCAAGCTGTGACTGTGGGTTTGTCTTTCAAGCCTTTTCCAAGTGTCTTAAGATTTCATTTTCCTGTTCATACTTTCTAATCAATCACATTTCTTTGATTGTCTTCAATCCTGGCTTTCCTGCCTCGAGAAGTTTATTATTGCTGTTGGAGAGATGGCCGAGCAGTTGAGAGTGCTTGCCGCCCTTCCAGAGAACCTGAGTTTGGTTTTCTTCACCCATGTCAGGCAGCTCACTCCCACTGTAATTCCAGCCTCAGGGGATCCATGTGTGAATTTGTGCACACACAGATGCACACACACATACATATAACACACACACACACACATACATAAATCCAAAGAGAGTAAGACTTAAAAGTATATTATCTGCAAAGCTATTCCCTGTTTCGTGGCTTATGGGAGGAACTCTTTGTTGCTGCTCATCCGATGATCCTATTTACCCATTCTTGGGGGCAATAGGAAAGTACTCAGTTACGTCTATGACAGACTGACAGACGTCTTTAGCCTTTCTTACAGCTAAGGGACTCCTGAAGCTGTTAAATGTAAACTCATAATGACAGACAGAGCACTGCAATTCAAATGATGGATAGGAAATGGGAATGACTCAGAGCTTCCACAGCTTGAATAGGTTTGCTGAAGCTGGACCATGAGGTCCAGAAAGATGGCTCAGTGGGTTAAAAGGCACTAGAGGCTAGCCTGTTGGCTTGGGTTCAGTCGTAAGAACCCATGTGTTGAGACGAGAAAACCTACTTCTGCAAGATGTCCTCTGACGTCAGCATGTGCATAACATAAATTATATATAAATGTATAATATATGTATATGTTTGTATATATATAAATAATATGGTATATATATTTTAAATTCTACAGTATATGATATATATATACATATACACATATATACGTACATACATAATATATTATATGCATTCTAAAAGACTAAACCTGAATTTTTAAATGAGATTTGTCTATGTGGACATGGGATTATCTAGACACTAACCTTCAGTTACTCAGGATAAATTAGGCAGGAAATTCCCCTGTCCATTTGCAGGGAAGAAGGAATGGAGGCTGAGGGCTCATGTTCTCTGCAGAGAGTTTTGGCTGGAGTGCCACACGATTAACTTTAAACTGAACTGCAGCTTCCACGATTACAAGGCAAGGCTGACACAGCCTCCTGGAGACCGGAGTTCTGACATTATCATTCGGTTGGTGTCCCCACGCTTTGTGTGTTTTTATCAAGGGTCAGTTCAGTCTTAGGCCATAATGCCTTGTCCACCCACCTTCCTTCCTTTCTTCTTTCTCTTCCCCCCCTCCCCCTTTCTCTCAATTTATCATCTACTGAAAAAGAGACAAGAATTAGAATCCAGGAAATGGTTCTGATGTTAAAGTACCCAGGGTTGAAGAGTTTAACATAGGTCTGTGATCCTGTTTAAAAGAGAACTCATGGAACTGGAGAGGTGGCTCAGTGTTAAGAGCATCTGCTACTCTAGCAGGGGACTTAGGCTTGGTTCTAGCACCCATACAGTGGCCCGCAACCATCTGTAACTCCAGTTCCAGGGGAACCTGACTTCTTCTGACCTCCGAGAGCACCAGGCATGCATGTGCTATACATACATACATGCAGACAAAGCACTCATATGCACAAAAATAGATCTTATTCTTTTTTTAATGTGCACGTATGAAGGCCAGCCTTGGAGACCTGGCACTAGGCTAATGGTGACACAGTAGAAGGGTATGACGCTGAATGACCTCAGGTTTCCTTGAGCTTTCGGTCACCTGGTTGAAGTCCTTAGCTATGCATGGAAAACCCAGGTTCTGTTCTTATCTAAATCTTGCCCTACGTTAAAAGCTCGGCTCACATTCCACAGCCGTTGTTAAATACATTAAATATTTATTTAATCCTGTTAGTACCAGGTACTTGGCTGTGTGGTGACACGAAGTCAAGGTCCCACTGTCTAAGGGTTTGTGCAGCGGCAGAGGTGAGGCCCACACAAGTAAACAGGTGGAACATACTACAGAGTTTGTAGCTGGCACCTCAGGAAGCAGAAAGAGAAGCGCTGGACATATTTGACTCTTGTACAATTTACTGTATACACACAAGACCCTGGGTGAAAGTCACCTCCTACTGTGACTTTCCTGGGTTTGCAAACTTGATTTCAAACTCAAGTTTTTTCATGGTTTCAGATTTTGTCCTGCTTCTCGGGGGATTTTTGATGTGCAGTAAGGGTCTGTTGTTTATAGCAGTAGATACCATTGTTGTTAATTATTAAAGTTCTTTGCAAAGAACAGTATTTTTGATTTTTGTGATTTTTGGCTTCAGGGATTAAACTCAGGGCCTTGAAAACACTAGGACATACTCTCTGCCAAGGAGGTGATCCCAGCCCAAGATGCTTGTTTGTTTGTTTATTTCAAGATAGGGTTTCTCTGTGTAGTTCTGGCTGTACTGGAACTTGCTTCGTAGTCCACGCTGCCCTTAAACTCACAGAGATCCGCCTGCCTCTGCTCCCTGAGTGCTGGGATTAAAGGTGTGTGCCACCATGCCTGACTTGGAAC